CATCCGCCCCTTCCACGAAGAGGGCGGCAAGGGCTACGAGGCCATCTTGGCCGCGCTCGAGAAGCTCTCGAAGAAGCACATGGAACACATCTCCGTGTACGGCGAGGGTAACGAGAGGCGGCTCACCGGCCACCACGAGACCGCGCCCATCACCAAGTTCTCCTACGGCGTCGCCAACCGAGGTACATTCATGTTCATGAACCTTCTACTTTGAGCCACGCACGCTACCTTGACATCATCATCTCACCGTCTTACTTGCAGGTGCGTCCATCCGCATTCCCCGCCACACGTTCGAGAAGCAGCGCGGCTACATCGAGGATCGTCGCCCCGCCTCCAACGTCGATCCCTACCCCGCCTCTGCCCGCCTCATGCAGACCATCCTCCTCGACCCCTAGACGACGCACGGCGCGCCAAGCAAGGAGATGTAAACGTGTAGAAAACACGATGTAAGCAAACCGACAGTAGGAGAAGAACGAGATTCGTTGTTGTCCCTACACGCTCTCGGCGAGTCCCGTCCCCCACCTTCTTGCAGCGCTGGTGGGCCTTCTCGTTGGAATTCAAAATAGTCCGACAAGCAGCCAGCTTGCTCTTCTCTTTCTTTTTCCCAGATGCCTTTTCATCTCGTCCACCTCGATCTCGGTCACTCCCCACCCACCCAATGAGGTCCCTACGAGGGTCTCTCTTCTGGCGCTCTCTCGACACAGGAAGTCGTCGTTTTTGTCCACCACCGCCCGAACGACCAGCATGGGGCTGAGGCTTGAAGATTAGAGCGAACCCCACCACCACCACCACCAATAAGAAGAGTTCGCGCCAAGTCGCGCTCTCCACCGTATGTTCCTCATATCCTACTCTCGCGGGAGACCTCGCCCACCACTACAACCCCCACCACCTGTCGGGGGGGGACTCAGCGCGCCGATAGCCGCTCGGTAGTCCCCTCGTCGTTCGGTACGTTTGGCCAAACAACACACGACACGACACGACACGCGCCACGCGCCACACGCCACGCTGTGCTTATGTGTGGGGGGGGGTGTGCGATACGGCAGGAACGCTCTCGGGCGGCGGTGTCGGCGGTGTTCCGTCGGCGGGGCCGGGGCCGGTCAGTCGACCCTCTGGGGGATCCCGCATATTGCGCACACGGCCCGCATGCCTGTGAGCGCCTCCCGGAGCGCAACCGCCACGGCGGTATCGCACGCAATGTACGCACCACCCGTCACCACCGTCACCATCATCACCATCACCACGAACCTTGAAGGTTGCCGTGAGGCCGCACCGCACCTCAATGGATTCACTTGGGCTGTCCCCCCCCAGCTAGGACCAGCCAGCACCGCCCACCCTCCATGTGGGAGTAGCTGGCCGACGTGTCGTGGGTGCCCCGTTGGAGAGGGGAGGGGCACGGCACCATCACGCCTCGCCGCCCGAGCTCGCGGTTAACGTACCTCTACCCCCCCCCCAACTCATCATGCAGCATCATCATCGCATTATCAGCTCCTGCTCCTGCAGCTCCCGCTTCGAAGAGGAGGAGGAGGAGGAGGCGCCTCACGACGTCGTACTGACCCCTCTTTCCCATTCCTCTTCGCAGCCCCCCCCCCCCAAGGTGTGTTCATAATGGGCGGGGAGGGGGCTTTAATGGTGGCATGCACCCACCATGGCATGGATGGCGAACACCTTCGGGCCAAGCGACCTCTCCTTCTTCTGCTGCTTCTTCTTCTTCTGTTCCCCTGCTGGCCGCGATGCATAGCTATGGATCGATCACCGCCGTCCGTCGTCGGGTACGTTCATCCAGAGCTCTTCATACCACTCTCCACTACTTCTCTCCTCCTTCACGTCCCGCCGTCATCGTCGTGCTATCTTTCTTTTCTTCAGCCGTTTTCTTCGTTTGTTTCTCTCTACTTTCCTTTTCTTCGTATTTGGTATATACTGTTGGATGCGGGGTGTCCCCGCGTCCAAGAAGCACACCCGCACCAAATCAAGACCCACGCGCGCGCGCGCGCGTCGTTGTGTTTTGCTGCTGACGTGTCCGCTGCGTTTTTTCGGGTGTGCAGGAAAAATTTCGAAGGGGCGACCAGTTCTTCACCTTCGCATCGCACCGTCAACAACAACAACCACCACCACCACATCAGCAACCACAACTGCTGCTAGAGACATCGTCGATGATGAAGGCTATGCAAGGTAGCATCCTGCTCCTGGCGTTCCTCCTTTTCGCCGCCCTCGCTGCTGGTGCGTGCTCGACCCCCAACGAGCTGCGTTCAACGGCCACCACCACCACCACCGCCGCCGCCCGGCTCTTCTCCGTCGTCGGAGGCCTCGAGGCCCTCCCCCTCCAGCACCAGCACCACATAGCCCTCTTTGGCCGCTCGACCTACAACCTGACGACGGGGCTCGACCAGCCCCACCTTCTTCCACTTCCTCTCGACTTCGACCACCCCCACCACCTGGTCGTCGTAGGGGCCACGTCGTCCTACCATCCGGGACCCCTCAACAACCTTCTCGTCGAGCTCTTCAAGATCAACAACCTCAACAACGTCGTCGAGATCTTCAACAACAAGAACAAGAACAACATGAACAAGAACAAGAACAACAACAAGAATATCGACATGCTCCTCCACGGCCATGCGCTTATCGAGGAGGCTGTCGTGGAGGGCCTCACCCGCCATGGGGCTACTCGAGTGGAGACCCCATCGTCGCCATCGCCGTCGCCGTCGCCGTCGTGGAGGGGCTTCACCGGGCCGGCCGTTGCGCGCCTCCTGCTCGTACGCCCCTTCCTGGCCCTCGCTTGCAGCGTCGACTCTTCGCTCCCGTCGTGGAGGTCGGCGCTCCCTTCATCGCCCCCCTCCTGGTGGTCGTCGGCGTCGTCGCAGCTTTCTTCGATCATCGCGTCGGTCCCGTCGGCGGCGGCGGCGACGTGGGCTTGGCTCCCGTCGTGGAGGTCGGTGGTGCCCTTCGTTCAGGTGGCGCTCGGGTGCCTGCTAGCCCTGCTCGGCTACGCCCTGGCCACGCAGCCCGACCCCATCCACAAGCCCCTGCCCCCGATCCGCGGCTACCCCTCCTCCTCTTTCTGGTCGTCGTGGTCGTCGCCGGCCCTCCTCGCCTTAGCCGTCACCTCTTCGCTCCCCTCGTGGCCGTCGTGGCCTTCGCTCCCCGCGGTGTCGGCCCGGATGTGGTCGATGCTGGCCCGCCCCGCGGCCACCGCGACGACCGTTAGGCCGACCGCCGCCGCCGCGAGTGGGCTGCGGCGCAGGCGAGAGCGCCGGCTCGACGTCGGTCCGTTGGATCTGCTGTTGATAGCCCGGTCCATCGAGGCCTGCTTCAACGCCGCCCACGCGCCCGCCCAGCCCGCCCACGACGACGACGAGGTGCCGCTCGTGAACAACAACAACAACAACAACAACACGAGGAGGCGGGAGCGCCGGATCGACGTCGGTCCGTCGGATCTGCTGCTGATGGCCCGGTCCATCGAGGCCTGCTTCAACGCCGCCCACGCGCCCACTCAGCCCGCCCACGCGCCCACTCAGCCCGCCCACGCGCCTGCCCAGCCCGCCCACGACGATGACCACCACGATGGTGACGATGACGACGACGGCGAGGACGAGGTGCCGCTCGTGAACAACACGAGGAGGCGCCGGATGATGGCGGCCCTGCACCACCACTAGGCGGCACACCCCTCAGCCAACCCCCCCCCAACGTACGTACACCACCACCACCACCGGCTCTCTCTCTCTCTCTCTTCTTTGGCCTCACGGCACCTCACGCCGGTTTGCTGACGCGCTACACCTCCTCCCTCTGCAGATACCACCACAAAAAAAAAAAAAAANAAAAAAAAAGGAGAGGGGGGGAACGACGGCAGACCAGCGACGAACAACACCACCAACACCAACAACACCACAACAAAAGAAGAAGAAGAAGAAAGGCCACCACCTACGAGCGACCTCAAGACAATCGGATGGTACGCACGCGCTCCCTCTCGGTCGACGTGTGGTGTGTGGCGCGTACCATAGCTGACGCTTGCTTCTCTCTCTCCCTCTCTCTTTACGACAGTGCTGTACGGTACCCCAGCACCGCCTGTGCATGGCGACGGGGGGGGGCTGGTACGGTACCGCAGCACGCGCCCCCCTCCCATCCCCACAGGACAAGGTCCTCGTCGGGGAGGAGGGAGAGCAGCACCTGCCCCCATGCATCCCGTCCCGT